AAAAATGTTCCCGGGGAGGCTCTGGATGGTTGCTGGTTGCCCAGGATCTCCAGGCAGAAGCGGCGAACCATCTCTCTCTCTCCCCTCCCCACCCTCCCCATTTAACACTTCAGTAGACAACTCTCTTAAGATAATCCAACAACATCCTCTGTACTCCCTCCATGTGTACCAAGCTGGCCTCTTCTCTGTACATTGGTTCCCTTTTCCTGCCACCAGGAAAAGCCCACACTCCTCCTAAGAGATCCTGTTGTATTATTTCTATGATTCCAAATCACTAGAAGTTGAGAAAAACACTCTGCAAAACCCCTTCACCAAAAAATGGGACCTTGAGAATCTTACCATTTCGTGTGTGTGTGTGCGCACACGCGCGTGTGGTTTGGGTGCTAGGAAGCTCTGAGCAGAACCGGACCTGCTGGTAGAAGCCATGCTGACTGTTAGCATCTGCGAATATACCATCTGGTCATCTAAACTCTCTACTCACATTTTATTCACCTTACTTTGGATATATATACATTTTATTTGCCTTCCTTTAAATGTGTTCTTTAATTTTTTCGTTGTTTGACTTTAAAAACAAATCTGAGAATAAGTGTACAAAGAAAGTTTCTGAACCTTCTACTGAGGTCAAAGTGTTGGCGGAGGTGGAAGACCAGTAGCCCAGCAACCTGAGAGGAGAGGGGCGCCTCCTGCCCCAGAACCAGGCACCAAGGACAAAGGTTTCTATGTGCGGCTCCACTGTCCGGAGCCTTGGAAAGCAGTGTGTTTTAGCCAAAGAGGCAGAGGTCAAGTGAGGCAATGACATAGAAGGGACTTCTTCCTCCCAGGCCTCTGGGACTGGGTGTGGGAGCCGGGGAGGGGGTGTGGGGAGTCAGGGCTGGAATCCCTCAGATTCTCTTCATGGGAGAATTGACACTCCGTACCTGCCCAGCTGACCCTCCTCTCCCTGTCCCCATGTCCAAGAGGACTGTGGCCATTGTGAGGCTGGCTTATTTAAAGTTGTTGACAATATTGAATTTTGACATTTAACTAAATCCTCAGTAATTCTCATAGTTGGGCAAATTATCTTAACGTTTCTAGTGATCAATTACATTGTTTCCAGAACAATTCAGCTTCCTTGCTAACCGTAATGCTGCTTTAGTCTGTTACCTGACTTTTTGCCGGGTCTAAACTCAAGTATTCTAATATCAGATGTGAGATTAGGTGGCAGAAGAGAACAAACAGATGAGAAGCTATTGCTGTACTATCATCACAAAGTAAAGAAAGCAGGGACCACGACACTAAGACACTAAAAAGCAAGAGACACTTTGAGAGATATTCTAGTTAAAGTATTGGCTAGATCCTCCATCTTTGACCAGCAGAACTAGTACAAACTCAAGTCTTGGCACCAAAACTCTAGGCCTTTCCCTTACCCACCAGGCATGCCATTAATTTGGGGGGGGGGTGTGCTAACAAAAGAAAATTTCATTTTTTACTACTGACAGACACTTTGCCAGATCTAAAGTAAACAAGGACAGCTATGCATGGAGAAGAAAGGAAAAGCAAGTGGGTGTCACCGGTATCGATAGAGAACATGTGTGAGAGCTTGTGTGCTGCCCAGTGGGCACTGGTGCCCGCCGTCCTGCTTCTGCTCACTACACAGGAGGTATGGGTTGAAGGCAGTATTTCCTAGTTTAGCAAATGGTTTCATTTATTCTTGGATTTTCCAAAATCTAGGGAAGAGGGAGAGGGAAAGAGAGGTGTCAGGAAAAAGGGGATGGAAATGTAGCTGGGGCTGCAAATTAGCTGAAAGTTAATTAGCTCCTGGTTGGAACGTAGGAAAAATGCCAAGATGAGAGACAAAGTTTAAGCCTGCAGCTGGTGAAGGACTGAGGCCCTCTGTCCAGCAGCACTCAGGGGATAAATCCTGCCCACAGCATGGGACAGAGTGCAGACCTTCCCTTCCCCTGATGAGTTTCAGACCCTGGGCCTGGGCTGACACCTGAGGGACCCTGAGCAGAGGACCCAGGGAAGCCCACCTGAACTCCTGACCCCTGGAGTAATTGTCCCTATGATGTGTGGGCTGGCATAAACCACACAAGTTTGGAGGAATTTATGAGGCAGCAATAGAGAATTAAGGCGCATCATGTCGTACTGGAGGTGAGCTGTATTGTACAGTTGACAGGGCTTGCAGTTCTGCCCTCTGGTATCAGAGAGTTCTCTTCTAAGGCCAAAGTTAAAATACTTCCGGTTGAACTATTAAAATGCATGTATTGCAAAAGAAAATGGGAGGAGAGATGGCTCTGTCTTTCCACAGATCTCTGTATATTATTCCCTGAGAAACTGAGCTCATGAGCTTAGTTGGGGCAGAATAACACATTTCCTATCTGAACCACAGCTCTGTGTAATTAGCTTTTTCTTTTTTTTAAGCGTTTGCAAAACATTCATAACCTTGGGAGGTCTGACAACTCTAAACTTTATTGTTTTTATTTAACTGTAACATTTTTTATACCAAAACAATACTAGTTCATTGGAGGAAAAAACAATACCTGTAATAAGCAAAAGGAAGGAAATAAAAATGTCTGTATTTATTTACAGGTATATACATACACATACACAGCAGGCCCCCATTATTTCTAAACTTGCCTCTTATTAATATTTTCTGAACGTATTTCCAAGTCAATAGATATTTACCTTCATAACTGAAACAGAAATTGAAAACTGCATATATTTTTATCATAATTTATAAAATCCACTGTCGTGTGTTTGAACTCTTAGCTTGTACCTATCATCTTCTGTTACAGACAATTCGATGACAAACAACCAGTACTCTAAATTATAAAAACATCACATTTTTAAGAAGATAAAATTCAGCATGCACAGCTTATCCAAGTGTAGTATACTCTAGAAAGGGATGGATTCTAGAGCACAAATCTGGGGTGGGGGCACTGGAGACCTCTGAGTGGAGGAGCTTAGAGCCTCCAGTCCTTGGAGAGTAAGGGCCACCTGTGTGCCATCATCAAAACACTCAGTGTCCTTTTCAGCATCACTGGCCTTGCTGGGCTCAATCCATCAGCCAGCTGCTCTCAGACTCTGCAATTGTCAGAACAGCTGGGAGCTTGTTAAAAATACATATTCCCTGGCAGCACTCCAGAAAACTGGACTTCAGTGGTTCTGGTGGAGCCAGAAAAAAAGAGGCCAGGTGATTCCCAGAATCACAGGGCTTCAGGAATTCCTACATTAATCCTGACCGAGATCAGAGATCAGACCTCCAGGCTTGTCCATGGCAGGCATTTCCCCCCTCCTTTTACGATAAAATTTGTGTGCTCAGAGAGATGAGCTGGAAGATGAGGTGGAGGTATTTACGCAAGCACCCAACCTAAGTCTGCACACCCCACTCCCCTTCTATCTGGGATGGCCCTATAGCAAATAGCTTCACTGTGTTGTTATCACAGGCTTCTCTAGGTGGACAGAAGGACCCTTCTTAGTCTCCTTCCCTCTTATATCCACTCGACAAACATTTATTGCGCATCTAGCAGGTTCGGGTGTTGTGCCATCCCCACCGTGAACTGCGGATGGATGGGACCTGTATGAAACTATTGGGGTCACTGCACCCCAGCAGGGTGCTTCCTGAGACCACGTCCCTGATGGGCCCTTCTGGGTCAGCGGCAGGTAACTGGCACGAGGTTAAGCTCCGCAAGGAGTCAGCCTGTTCATCAATCCCCCTTCACACACACACTGGGTGCAAGTATGTTAGGTCTGGAGCTCCCAGCAGGGCTCAGCGCATCTGGCTGACTGCACAGGAACTCGGTTTCCTTAGGTAGGAACTTGGGGCTTATCTCCACCGCCAGACTTTCCTGCCCTCCTCCCGTCCAAGCCCGCGCTAGGGTGTCGCTAAGGTCCGCTCTAGAGTCACGTCCCTTCTCGTCCCCGCGTGAGGGCGCGCGCGGGCAACGGCGCGCCAGGGCCCCTGTGGAGACAGGGGTCAGAGCTTGTCGCGGACCGCAGCGACGCCTTCGTTGGCCCACGAGCTAGGGGATCCGCTCCGAGTCCTTCCTCTGCACCTGAGGCTGGAGGAGAAACCTGGGGCAGCCTGAGGAACCGCTAGGGTTGCCGCGGCTCCGGGCGCCGCCCGGCGAGGAATCCTGCGGGCATAAGGGCGCGCGCCACGGCTGGGGTTCGGTGCCCTCCACGCGGCGCTCCCGCACAAACGCGCCGCCTCCCACCGCGGCGCTCTCCTCCACCTACACTGGTCCGTCCCCCCGAGGTGTGNCCCCCCCCCGCTGAGATCCCCAACACGAAGAACCCACCCACCTGCGATGCTCCCACAACTGAGCTGATCCCTCTCACCTATGAGGCTCCTCCCTTAGGCGATGCTTCCCACACCCCGACGACGCTCCCCCTCCTCGTAACGTCCCGCACACA